CCTACACTTGTGTTGCGCAATAGTCGCAAAATAAATATAAAAATGACATGTTATCACATATTTGAGAAAGAAAAGTTAACTAAAATTGTTGCTAAAGCACCCTTCCACATTACACCCTTATAGATAATCGCTGCATTTTGTGTGCAGCGCGTTGTCATATGCAAGTTAGCTATCAGCGCATATTACACTGAAGTTTCGCTTGTAGTGACTACGGGAAAATAATTTATGAAATAAAAACAGTGAACGAATCAATCTATTCAACATCCACTCCGACTCTACCCTCTTGACCCGACTTGACAATGAATTGAAATATAAAATTCCGTAAAGTTTAGTCTTTTAATAATTTTAATATACTGCGATACATTCTACATACTGTTGCATTCTACTAAATTACTACGATACTTTTAAACTATAAAGTATATAAAATGTATATTATATTTATAATATACATTTTATATTTCAAGATTTTATATATAATACTTTATAGTTTAAAAGTATCGTAGTAATTTAGTAGAATGTAACTGTGTGTAGAATGTATCGCAGTATATAAAATATACTGCACACGAAATACAGCGATTATCTATGAGGGTGTAATGTGAAAGGAATGCTTTAGCAACAATTTTAGTTAACTTTTTTTCTGAAGTATGTGATAACATGTCATTTTTATATTTATTTTGCGACTATTGCGCAACACAAGTGCGGTATAAACGATGCGTCATGCAGCGCGACGCATATAATGTGATACTGATGACTCATTTTTGAAAGATACGATTTCGGAACATAATAAAATCATATATAATTGCATTCAGCGTAAAAAATGCTTAAACATTTGTCATTTCAAAAATTTTAAAATTCGAAAAAATAAGAGGTGGGGATAAATAAAAAAAATTACATTTTTTGAAAATTCAACTAAACAGTTATAAGCTCATTACAAACCATACAACTTCTATTTGAAACATTTTTTGATATTTGTTACAATTTTGGTGATATTCACACAAAAAGAAAAAACCCGTTTTTTTTTCAAAAGGGTGTTTCACCCCTCAAATTTGAATTAGGGTGTGACCGGACGTGCCCTATGGAGATAGATTACTCAGGACTCACCAGTCGCAGGCAGCAATACGTTCGCCGTAGATTGGTCGCCACTCGTTTTAACCTCTTAAACGAGAAAGTTGAAATTCTTGCCTCGTCCTTCCATGACCCTCAGGATCGGATGTCGCTTCTTTTAGTACGGACGATGACGCCTGATGAGATGCTGCGATGTATCTTGTTCTAATCCCTTTTGTTTTGTTTGTTCACAGGTTCACCTTGCGCACAGACGATGGATCAACCGGATGCAGAACGGATAAGGTAAGTATCGACAACATTCGTTTCACAGGTACGGATTGAAAGAATTTCACACAATTTATTTTGATTAATGATTAAAATAAAATATATATTTAACACAAAACAAAATAATTGTACACAAATTGTGAGCCATAGTGGCTATAACAGTATACAAAGTATACAAGTATACAAAGTACAGTAAGTATATAGATACAAAAATACAGTGTCAACTACTGTAAATTATTTTAACCTGTAAATAACAGGTGTAAAAAAAAGTGGTACAATAGGGCTCCAGGCGACGATCCACTTAAAAAAAATCGAACGCGCCATAAGTGGAACCTCAAAG